GCTGCAAAAGGCACGAATGAAATGGTGATATGACAGTAGAATGGTTGATGGATATTGTGATGTTATAGAAGTAGCAAATACTGTGGATGCTTACGGCAAGTGATGCAGCTAGCTATGCTTCGTGCATCAGCGATTATTATGAATGATATGTCTTCGGATTTGAAATTTTGTATTGTTGATTATGTACGATGATAGTTACATAAATGTGCATTTGATGCGGTTATAATAAAGATTTGTATGAATCCCAGTCGAATCACTCAGCTGCTAACGCTCCACCCATCGCTATAGAATGATTATTGTGTCGCATTTTGCGATCATTAGGAATGAGTACATCTGCACGGTGATTCGGTGTGTTTTTGTGCGTTCTCGAGAATTTATTAAAATGATGATTGGATACAGTAGTAATGCTGAGCCACTGCATTGATTACTGCACTTTTCGTTGGCTTCACAAAACGCCATTTCTCACTTCACTGTTGTTAGTACAACAATGAATTGTTTCCACGCGAGCGTACATTTCATTTAGATCGAATCTTATATTTAGTGCTTGGTTTAGTGGCATTTATTTGACGAGAGATAATGGAGCAGCAAGTGTTTGCTTCGACTCTCTACACAATTTACTGACCCAATCCAATAATTCAAGTCTGTAGTGGACCACTGAAATCAGGTGCTGAATGTTTTCGAAACGTTGACAGCAATAGTATGCGATCGAGTATTTTCTGAAAATAATATCACGTCGAGATGTACCGTTTGAATTCCTCTCGGTATCATTGATCATACTTCCAGAAGGAGTGTTGAATCGATGCTCTTGGTAATTTTATTTTCGGTTTATGCGATACAAGGCACCGTTCTGTTGGTCACAAATGGTCTTCTTGCACTCGCGTTGTTCAAAAATGTCACTCTCAGACGACAATACGTTATACAGCTTTATCGGGTTATTCTATTTGCTATCAATGTGCTACTTTTTGTGATCACTTGAAACGAATCACATTCCATCTAATAAACTCACGAGATTATTTTCATACATTTCAGCGATTTTGCATTTCTCCAGTACCTGAAACTGACGAATTGACTTAACTCACTCTTAACTCAGTGCACTCTCATTTAACTTAACTCTTAACTTAACGTGACTTAACTTAACTTAACTCTTAAATCACTTAACTCACTTAAACTAGCGAACTTAAAAAAAAACTAATTCACTTAACGTTCACTTAATAAAATTCGCTTAACATCGGAGAGTATTTTCGACTTCAAAAATATCGATAATGGCAAACAAGGAAGTTCAGTGCTCAAAAATGTATTCCTTCGTGGTGGGGCAGATATTCCTGAATGAAAGACTGCCAGCCATACTGCACATGAATGAAAATCCATGGAAAGTTCCATGAATAATTTCAGGTTATTGTTGACTCAATGGTTGGAATTGCGTTATTGTTGGCCGGTACAGGTCGGCTGCTGTTCCTCTTCACCAAACATAGTGCAGCTCTCAAAAGTCAGTTCTATTGCATGCTGATGCCATGGAACGTTATATCTGTATGGTCAGTGATCGTTCATTTCTCATAGCAATACTCCCATAATCTTTGCTGTCTCTCGACAGTAATTCCTATCGATGTGCTGGATGATTTGGCTTTTCAACGCAGGTTTAGTTTAGGGTTGGCAGCAGTAAAGTGCCTACCATGATTATTGCATGCGAAGACTGCTAAGGAAAATCATTTGTATACTAGATCAGATGCAAGCATTTCCAAATCATTTCGATGCCGAGTC